ACTAGTTTATCATTTAAGATTCTAAACTTTAAGAACCATTCACTGTTATGACGATTCATTTATTTTAAAAGCACTTAAAATACAATGGCTGTCAAATTAATTACTATACACTGTTTATAAACGTTTATAATTTGATAATAAAACTCTATAATGAAGCTTTCAATACGAAACTTTAAAATTTCCATAATGTTTATAATAATCAAAAGAAAATATAATTATCGCATTAAACACATGCTATAAAGCATGCGTTTTCATCCTCTATTAAATTCATCAATAGAAAATTAAACAATTTTGCAAATACTATTGCAAACATAGTTATTAAATATTTAAAATTTGAATTAAAAAAAGTTTAAATTATTGATTATTTTCTATCGTACGTTTCCTTACTCAATGCATCTTTCCTTTAAACAATTCAATACTTTCAAGTTTCCTCCGTTATAAAGGAATTGAATGCTATTTAAAGAATGTTTTCAAACATTTACTATTCCACGAACCATAGAAGAAGCATACCAAACGTTGGTTATTTTAAAATGTATTTTATGGCTTAAGGAAAGTTTTATATAATACGAAGAATTCAAAGTAATTCTTCATTTAACTTGAGAAAACGTTTTTGTTTATTTAAAGACACCAAATTATAACGAAATAATTTGATAATAGTTATGCACGAACTAATTTACCTCAGTGGTTACAAAAATCGTTGTTGTTCCTAGAGGTCATGAGTTCGAGCACCAGCGACTACATCAGGATGATTGAGCGTTTATTGTCAAATGTTTGAGAGTATTTTGAACATATACTACTTTGTAATCATCTTACTAATGATATGATATGTGTATTTCCCATCGAATTTCCTTCAAGATAGATTTTCTTTGAAGCGTCTTAAATTTGAATAATTGTATAGTATATGGACTAATGGTCGATTAAATATTTTGATGGGGGTCGAAATATTGAACTATATAAGAAAAATAAAATCGACAGAAAATGGTAAAAATTTAAAGTTCATCAAATCACAAAATATATCACAAGTTCCAGATCAAAAACCAATAAAATACTTTAATAATCCAAATCCCGTAAAAATAAAAGTGTTTAACATCAACGAAAATAAATATCATCAAGTCTGAAAAGAAAATATCCATACTATGTCTGAAAGGGAACGACAAATAACGATCCTCCAAGTACCGGTCCTAAATCTAAGGGTCTGAGTAATCTAAAAAGACGAAAACTAAGAAGTGAGCTACGGAGCCCAATGTGTTCTCTATAACAATAATTTAGAGAAAATATTCAGGAATGCACATTAGAATGGGGATTAAACCCTATACAGAAACAAGAAGGGGACGAGGACTCATGCAGGAACGAAGTCCCAAACAGAAGGAGAATGGGGAATGAGATCCCTTACAAAATTAGAATGGGGAACGAGGTCCCTTACTGAATTAGAATGGGGAACGAAGCCTCATACAAAATCAGAATGCACCATTATAAAGATTATGAATGGCTTTTAGGTCAGAATTTGGTCAAACGGACTGCAAAAATAGACTCAAGACGTCAAAAAACATAAGGATAGATGGTTTTAGAAAAGTTAACTGTTAAAGTCAAAGTCAACATTTAATGGTTGGGTAAACGAGTCGGGTCAATAGGTCAGTGACCGGCCCAGCTGGATTGGTCCAAGGGGTAACCAATTTTTCCGTTCTCAACTTCCAGAATAATCCCACACTCGTACGATGACATTTAGGGGCGCGTGAGAAGCCGTTCGAAGATAATTTTTGCACAAAAAATTCATTAAAAAAATAAGACATGAGGAACCACTTACCGAGGTCGGTTTGTGAAGAAGCATGATGGAATTGGATGTTATTGAAAACCAAAACCTAAACTCCAACAACAAAGGATGACTAAAAGAGAGTACCGGGTAAATGACGACAACAAGATTGACACAATGACACCGGCGGTGAGAGTCACGATTGTAGGAGTAGGGACCAATCAGAAGGAAAACACAAGTTGTTTGGGAGAGAAGAAAAAGAAAACAAGGGGGCTAGGTTAATCAAAAACAGGAAAAAGAAATAAAGAATATGATTTTAAAATAGACTAAGGGAAAATTATGCTCTAAGTCCTTGAACTTCTAAAAATTATTAAATATGTTTCACTAGTTTTAAAACTATTCAATTTGACCCCTAAACCTAGGGTGTGACAATCCTCCCCTAAAGAAAATTTTGGCCTCGAAAGTTTAACCTAGAGGAAAAGGATGAAGGTACTGCTCCTCCATGGACTTCTGAGTCTCCTAGGTAGCCTTAGAAAGACTACTACTATACCAAAGAATCTTAACCATCAGAATACGTTGACTCCTCAAAACTCAATCCTCGAAGGTAAGAATCCGAATAGGTTCCTCCTCATAACTGAAATCAAGTCTCAGCTCGACATCCTCTACAGAAATAATATGAGACAGATCAGAACGGTAGTGTCTTAACATAGAGACATGAAAGAAATCATGAATACGCTCAAGCTCAGGTGATAACTCAAGCTGATATGCAACATGACTAACTTGACACAAAATCTGATAGGGTCCAATAAACCTCAGACTCAATTTGCCTTTATGATCGAACATGATAACTTTTTTCCACGAAGATACTTCAAGAAAAACATGGTCACCAACATAGAATTCAATGTCTCGTCTTTTCAAATCAGCATAAGACCTTTGCCTATCAAAAGTAGCCTTAAGCCTATTTTGAATCAATCTAATTATACTCTCAGTCTCCTGAATAAGATCGGGTCCTACAACCCTCATGTTGGACAACTCAATCCAATATACTGGGGTACGACACCTACGACCATACAATGCCTCATATGGTGCCATCTGAATATTGGTCTTATAACTATTGTTGTAGACAAACTCAGCCAAAAGCAAGTGATCCTCCCAACTGCCCCAGAAATCAATAATACACCCCTCAACATATCCTCCAGAATCTGAATAGCACACTCAAACTGACCATCAGACTGTGGGTGATAAGTTGTACTGAATTTCAATCGGGTACCCAAGGCTTGATGAAGAGCCTTTCAAAATCGTGACGTAAACCTCGGATCTTGATAATAAATAATAGACAAATGAACTCCATAAAGACGAACAATCTCAAAAACATACAACCAAGCTAATCTGTCTAGAGAATAATTAGTATGAACCCAAATAAAATGGGCAGATTTTGTGAGATGATCAACAATAACCCATACAAAATCTTTCTTGGATCGCTTCAACGGTAATACACTAACAAAAGCCATGGTTACTCGCTTCCATTTCCACTTGTGGATCTGAATGGGTTGAAGTAAACTAGAAGGAAACTGATGCTCAACTTTCACTTGCTGATGGTCAAACACTTAGCGACATACTCAGTGGCATCTCTTTTCAAACAAGATCAGTAATACCTCTCTCGGATGTTCTGGTATATTGTAAAACCACCAAGATGCATTGAATAAGGATTATCATGAGCGTCCCGTAAAATAGCAGTCCGTAACTCAAGATCATTCGGAACAAAATAACATCCCCGAAAATATAATACACCATCCTAGTCGAAGGTATACTCAGAATCAAAACCCTATTCAGCTTGTTTTGCAAACAAGAATTAGGTTGCATCAAGAGACTGCTTGGACTTAATCTCATTCGCCATAGTAGGCTTAACCTGAAGCTTTGCTAACAAAGTACCATCATCATACAAGCTCAAATTGGTGAACATCACCATCAAATCGGTAGTCGCTCTCCATCTCAAAGCATCGACAACTACATTAGCCTTTACAGGATGATACTCAATCTCGAAATCATAGTCGTTCAGAAACTCTAACCAGTGACATTCTCTCAAGTTCAGTTCCTTCTGGGTCAACAAATATTTTAGGCTTTTATGGTCAGTAAAGATATAACACTTCTCCCCGTAAAGATAGTGTCTCTAAATTTTTAACGTAAAAACCACTACAAGTAACTTGAGATCGTGTTTGGGGTAATTACATTCATGTAATTTCAACTAATGAGACGCTGATAATAACCAGAATGAAGATCAATCTTAGAGAAAATGGAAGCCCCACGAAATTGATCAAACAAATCATCGATGTAAGATAATGGGTATTTTTTCTTAACAATAACTTTATTCAACTTCCGATAATTGATACATAAACACAACAATCGATCTTTTTTCTTAACAAAGAGCACATGAGCTCCCCATAGAGAATTACTTGGCTGAATAAAACCTTGATCCAATAACTCATGTAAATAAACCTTCAACTCTCTCAACTCCTTAGGTGCCATGCAATAAGGATCCATGGACATTGGTGCAGTACCTGGATATAGTTCATTTCCAAACTCAACCTCCCTATATGATGGAACACCTGATAACTCTTCTGGAAATACCTCCAAAAAGTTTATCACAGTATGGATCTGCTCAACTCCAACAGTGGACTTATTCGAATCCAGAATATATGCAAGTACGCTACGACAACCTTTCAGATCATCCTCTCGACTACCAAGGCTGAAATGACATTAGACAGATAACCTCGATGCTTACCAATCAGGATAACCTTCATTCCATTCAAATTTTTCAAAGTCGCTCTCTTACGTTCATAATTCAAATTAACCCGATGTTCTTTCAACCAATCAATGCCCAAAATAAAATCGAACTCATCAAGAGAAAGTTCTATAAGGTTTTCCAGAAAAGTCTCTCCACTGAGCTCAAGAGGACAATTACGATAAATTTTGTCAACCGATACAAATTGATCGATATGAGATTGAACAATAACATAACTGGTAGTCGACTCAACAGGAATTTCAAGGTTATGGGCAATAGAACTCGCAACATAGGAATGGGTAGACCCGCCATCAAGTAAAGAAAATTAATGAACAGAATGAATAGTAAAAGTACATGCAATAACATATGGCTCATCACAATCCTCGCAACGTCTCGTAGCATAGACAAGAGTAGGTTGTCTAGACTTAGATCTCGTAGAACCTCTAACTGAGGTAGATCACCCTCTACCTGAACTTGATGCATGACAAGATGAGGCAGGTCGACTCTGACCACTACCCCTCAAAGTTTGAAATGAACCTTGAGAACGTGCAAGAGTTTGATAATTATGAGCAGGCTATAAGCAATCTCTCAGAAAATACTCAGTGGAACCACACCAGAAAAATGTCCCCAACTTCTTACGAAAATCCCCATCATGGGCTCTACTACAGAAGATATAAGTAGGCACAACTCGTTGTGCAGAAGCAACATCTCTACTCTCAGATCAACCAAACGAAGCAACATGCATGGACCTAGAGTAAAACCTCGTTAAATTATTTTTGGGGGTTTTCCAAGACTTAAAGAAGAACCAAAAGGACCCTCAAAACCAGATTGCTTTCTTTTCTAACTGTAATGCTCTCTACTGAGGTCTTCTATATCCTCAGTAGGCTTAGCTCGATCCACGATCTGAATAAATTCTCTTACATGAAGTGTAACAATTTGACTATAAATCCCCATTGCAAACCTCTCTAAAATAATAAACACTCGCCTTGTTCAGTAATGATGAGTTTGGTAGCATACTTACTGAGGCGTAGAAACTTCATCTCATAATCCTGAACCATCATATAAACATGTTCAAAATCCATAAACTCTTGTTTCCGCTCTTTCAGATAACGACTACCCACAAACCAGCTCTAAAAGGTACATGAAAAAAACTTATAGGTCAACTGATCCCTTGTAGTAGTCATTTTCACTAAATTCCACCAATTTAGAGCATCAACATTCAGTAGCGAGACAACATCTTGAAGTCTCCGATCAATTGAATAATCCATCTCATCTAACAGACACTCAACCTTCTCAATCCAATATTCCCTGATAGACGGAGATGCTCGAGTGAGCCTTTAAAATATTCTGCCATTACATAACACCGTCGATGAGGCAATAATGGCAGTATCCTCTAGTTGAACCCCAATAGATCTCTGAAGTAAACATAATACTTCTCGACCCACAATAGCATTCTCAAAAACATCCACGTATATTTCTCCAATGGTAGGTGTATGCTCAGTATGCTCATTCGGATAAGGAGAATCAGACACTCGAGTACATCCAGTCGGCTCAGAAGAATCAGATGCTTGAGTACTGATGATTCCATAAAAAGGTCACATTTTGGGACCTTTTCACTTAAGTTATTGAATATATAAGAGCCTATTTAGGACCATGTAGATGCATTTAGGAGCATATAGTTGCATGTGGTGGAATTCTGTTTGTCGTGGCATTTTATATTGAAATCGGTGCTGCTTTATGGGGAAGGTGTTTGTTCGGTGATGTGTAGGAATTAAAAGCAAGGAAAAGAGAAAAGGAAATGCCGTGACATAAGGGGACTGCTAAGCAGAATGAAAATTCCGAGTTGGAATGGCATTTCGAGAGCGAACAAGTTGGAAGTTTATATCTTGAAGCCAGTTGTCCCTGTTTTCACGTGATCTCTGACCGGGGACAAGAAATCCGCCTCGAGGATCCGCCTGGAGGGATCAGCGCTGCTACAGTCGATCCTGCTGATCGCGTCGCCCTACTGTAAATCTTATCTGTCCTTGAGCTTTTGCAATAGGATTATGCTGGGTACTCAACCAACAACCCAGGTTGGATCAATGCCAACTCTTCCTAATCCTTATGTGATTTAAGCATGGTTTGGGGTATCCTAGAAATTTTAACACCAAGTCCTAGGGTTAATCTTCCCCTATAAATAGAGGATGAAGCCACAATGAAGAAGACTTTAGTTCCACACCATTTTGAGCTTAAAATTCAGAGGGAAAAGGTCTCTTATTTCTCCATCAATTCTATTTTCCGTGGCATTTCTCCGTGACAAGCTTGAGGGAGTGGCGTTCTAGGCATCCGAGAGGAGCTAGTTCGCTGGGGCAGTTCGTGGTGGCCGAGGGAAGCTCCGACAGTGCACGTCGAAGGCTTTTCCTCATTCCCTTTGTTCTTTGCTTTAATATTTTATCATTTGGGTTGTAAGGAACGGATAAATTTGCTTTGTGCTTGCTTATTTCGAACCCCACCATGAACTAATTCTATTTGGTGGGAGTTCATTTTGGATGTTTTATTTCAATGAATGGTTATTTTTCTATGATATAATCTGTTTTGTTTATGAAGCTTAGTGTCTTAAGGTTGTAGGAGCTACGAGAGTAGCCATTCCTTAGGAGATTACTTAGGGTTCGAGAGAATATCTAGGTAGCACATCCTTAGTGTTCGAGAGAAATTAGGGAGGAACCACATAAGCAAAGGGTTCTAGATAGTAACTATGCCTAATCCACCTTAGAGATAAGGCTAGGATTTCATTCGACTAAAAGGAGTTGTGCATGAACGATAGGTTAGATGTTAATGCTACCGCAAAAAGGTATTGTTGAGACATATCCTGTTATCTGGACCAATAGGATCACTGCAGGGGTTTACGCCAACCGGTTTTGCCAGGGCATCTTCAATCTGTCGAGTCCCTTACTAGAGATAACATAGGGCACCTTAGTAGACTCTGTCAGGCAGACAAGGCATAGAAGTAAGACCATTATGAGAAGTGGACTTAGATTTTCCTTAGTGACTCCTATCACTTATTCCCATAGTAGTTTGTCGTGTGAGAAAGGCAAAGTCATATCAATTAAATCTTATATTTACATTTCATTTTGCCTTGACATTTCTCTTTGTTTGCACTCAACACAATTCAATTTGCCACGACATTTCCATCCACTTTGCCACGACATATCCATTTGCTACCAGACTACCACCATTCCATTCCATGACATCCATATTATTTTACCGCAACATTATCATTTGTACATACCATCACTAACTTTACTTAGGTGACAAAGTAAAGCGCTTTGATAGAACTTATTTGATTTCCTCCAATCCCTGTGGAGACGATACTCACTTATCACTGTATTACTTGTTCGATTGTGTATACTTGTACATATATCCACACTCATATTTAGTACTCATACCGAGCGAACAAGTACGTCCATCAAACTACCCAACCTCAGGAACTGGAGGATCTCTATCAGAAAGGATATCAACCTCTATGGCCCCGAGCGCTACCAACCTTACGCAACGATACAAGATAATGTGTTCTCCTACTGGGCGACATACTAACTAATGTGTCTGAAATAAAAAGAGAATGCACATAACTAAAGTCAGATCCGATACTAGAATCTCAAATCAAAATATTTATGTTTGAAAACAAATAATTTAAAATCAATAGCAAATATTTACAATCAAAACACATTTTAGAAATCATTTTCCAAACCTTGAAACTTTTGATGCATAAAATAATTGTTTTACATAACAATATAAAATTCAACGGGTAGCACAGTCCGAGGGTTAAACCTAGCCTCTAATACCACTAAATATAACCCCCTTAACCCGGTCTAGATGTTATGACCGAATCTCAGATATTACAACAAAGATGAATTGGAAGAATTAGAAAATTCATATTTGACATGCATGGACAGAAAATGGTAAAAATCTCGAAGTTCATCTTACCATAAGTTCCAAATCAAAATCCAATAAAATACTTTATTAATCCAAATCCCGTAAAAATAAAAGTGGTTAACATCAAAGAAAATAAATATCATCAAGTTTGAAAAGAAAATATCCATACTATGTCTGAAAGAGAAAGACAAATAACAATCCTCCAAGTACCGGGCATAAATCTAAGGGTCTGAGTAATCTAAAAAGATAGAAACTAAGAAGTGAGATAAGAGGCCTAGTGTGTTCTCTAAAGTGATATAAGCATTACAATAAAAAATAATTTGATACAACCAATATGTAATAGTAATTCAGAGATAAATGTTCAGGAATGCATCATAAGAATGAGGATTAAACCCCATACAAAAATAGGATGGGGATGAGGTCCCATACAAAATCAAGAAAGGGAACGAAGTCCCATGCAGAATCAAAATGGGGACCAGGGTCCCTTATAGAATCAGAATGGGGAACGAAGCCACTTACAGAGTTAGGACGGGGAACGGAGTCCCATACAATGTCAGGACGGGGAACGAATTCCCATGCAGAATCAAAATGCATTGGTATAAAGATAATGAATGATGTCGTAATATTCAGGAATAAAATATATCTCAGATAATCAAAAACATGATAAACAGGCTTTCAAGTTAGAATTTGGCTGAACGGACTATAAAAACGGATTCATGATGTCGAAAAAATAGCGGTATGTGGTTTCAAAAAAGTCAACGGTAAACGATCAATGGGTTGGGTCAAAGGGTTAACAGGTCGGGTAAACATGTCAGGTAAACTGGTCGATGATCGACCCAACCAGTTCGGTCCAAAGAGTGACTGGTTTAGTCAGTCTCAACTGCCAGAACATTCCCACACGCGCACGACAGCATGAAAATTCCAGATAAATAAAATAAGAGACGAGAAACCACTTACCGAGGTTGGTCTACGAAGAAGCAACATGAAATTGTGTTTTCTTGAAAACTTAAACCTAAACTCCCTCACTAACGCTAAGAATAACAATAAATGACTAAACGAGGTTACCTGGCGAACGGTGACAGTGAGACAGACATTGTGACACTGGCGGTGAGAGTCGCGTTGGTCGGAGCAGGGACCAATCAGAAGAAAAACACAAGTTGTTTGAGAGAGAAAAGAAAAAGAAAACAAGGGATTAGGTTAATCAGAAACATGAAAAGGAGGGAAAAGAAGGAAGATTAAGGTCTTAAAATAGACTAAGGGAAAATTATGCTCTAAGTCCTCGAACTTCTTGAAATTATTAAATACGTTTCAATAGTTTTGAAACTATTCAATTTGACTTTTGAACCTAGGGTGTAACATGAGCACTGCATATGTAAGAGTATAAGCATTCATTGTAAAATGATTGAGAGTTTTTGTACATATAGTAACTTGTATTCACCCCAGATTTATATATAAAAAAACTCAAAATTCACAAGATAACACCTAATTTGTCTAATATTTAAACTTACAATAACTGAAACTGTTATTAGAACAACATATATTGAGAAACGAGGTTATCATTCTTTAGTTCGAACTCTATTTGATTAAATATTTAATAAATTATTATATTTTTTAATTTAAATATTTATTTTTACATATACTAAAATACTATTAAATCAAAATTATATAAAATGTATAAATTTTTTAACAGGGGTCGGGGCCCCTTTTGGCCCAACAGAGCTCTGCCGATGTGAATGGTTCCCTACGGTTAGGACGACTTTTCAAATTTTGTACACCCGATACATGGAGTAAACTAGCGACGGTACCACTTTTCTCTCATCTCAAAACAACACTTATAAACATGTTTATGAAAACCAAAGAAAGTGTTTATAAAGCAAACATTTGCTTAGGGATTTCACCAAATGAATGGAAATTTTCCACTATTTTATAACCTAAAATAGTTACGGTAAAATCTTTATTTTTAAAATACAATTTAAAGATCTTAAAATAAAATTAAAAGACATTTAGAATTGAATTACAATTGAGCATTAACAACAAAAATAAATATATCCTCTATTCTATATTTAAGAGTCAAATTTAGATATCCAGATTCATACAAGTAATGCATACTACCAATCCTAAATCTACCATAAATAATAATTTTTAATATCTAAATCCAAAAACAATAGGTGAAATATCCAAATATTCCCTCCAAATAATAACAGTTAAGCTTTGGGCGGATAGGTAGTTTGACTTCACTGGCTGATAATTGAGAATATAAATAGGTGAAAAAGAATCCGAGAAAATTCACCCCAAATTACAATCTTTCCTTTTCAAGAAGCAAGTACCGGTTTGTTATTTTAGCGCAGAGCGAACCGGAAAAGAAGAAATAAGCAAATCCATAACTTCTTTTCAATTCTCTTATTCAAAACAACTCAACATCAATCCTGTTGATTGAGTATTCAAATCTTTGTACTTTCTATTACAACCTTGGGTCGGTGTAGAGGTGATGAAGAACAAAGTCATAGATTTGTCGAAGGCCATAGCTACGACTGAATCCTTGTCATAGTATGAGATAATAAAGCCAAAACACAAGGGCTACGATGGAGGAGATTGAGAGAAATCATCCAAGGATGAGTCCGAGGAGTGTCAAAGTGGTAAGGAGAAACCAAAAAAGGGAAAGGCCAACCTATTCCGTGAGTCGAGACCAAAAAAGTATCTTAGTTATTTCCTTTGTAACGAGAATCACATGATGAGGGATTACCCGATGAAGGACAAGGTGGCTTCCATATTGAGTCAAGAATATGAGCTAGATGGTGAGGTAGCTAGGCTTGACACAATTGTGAGCATCAGGGCCAACAAACCGAAGGTAGAAGTTGAGTAACCAAAGTGCCCCCAAGAGGAGGGGTCACAGAAGTCTTAAGGGCATGATGATCGAGCCAAGGTGTCTAAGGGAGAGGAAGAGTCCAAAGATGAGGAGGCATGAGGCTTGGCACGATGGTCATGGGCTCTGTCAAGGTGAACGGATCTAAAGATAGAAATGGTTGATGTACATCGACATCAATGTTATAGGAAAATAGAAAAGTGCTCTAATAGACCCAGGGAACCCGATCTGTTCATATCAAAGAGAGCTGCAGATGAGCTTGGTCTCCGAGTGGAGAAGTCGAATGGCTACATAAAGACGGTTAATTCCAAGGAAGTGCTCATTTATGGAGTAGCGAGGATGGTGGAGTTACGAATTGGTGAGTGGAGGAAGAAGAAAGATTTTAAGGTAGTTTTGCTGGATGGCTTTGATTTTGTTGTTGGGTTAAGCTTCATTGAGCAAATTCAAGCTTTCATCACGCCCAATCAAGACATCCTGTACGTCACTGGTCTACATTGGACGTGCATTGTGCTAACATACCAAGATAAAGGAAAGGGGGCCAAGGCATTGTTAGCCATTCAATTTGGTAAAGATCTTTCGAAGGAGAAAAACATCACTTTAGAGGTAACTGTTGGGGAAAAAACCGAGGAAGGAACCAAGGGACCCTAGATTTCAAGGGACATGGAGACACCACCAATGGATGAGTTGGTAGAGATACTAGACTTTAAGGAAGAAGGGTCGATGCAATAAGGGGCACCAAACTTCGAGAAGAAAATATCGATGAAAGAGGCACCGAGCTTTATGGAGGAAACATCGATGCCAAAGAAACTAGAATTTGGGGAGAAAAGAGGGTTGATGTATTTTTGGGTGAATACAACTGATGGAAAAGAGGTACATCTCGAACACGGATCTTGTGTGGTTAAGTCTAATTTGCCATCTTCGATGAGTGTAGGTCAGGAGATACCTAGTCATCAAGTTGAAGGGACCAAAGGTTAGAAGGGGCATGCGAGACCTTTCAGAGTTCAAGATGGCACGTCAAGGATGCTGATGAATCTGGGAGTTCAACCGAGGGGTCATCCAAGCTTATGCCAAATGATCAAGGGGGTCCATGCCAAGGCAAGTTTAGATGAGTAGGAAAGAGTTCCTACAAATGAGATGTGCACATGGGGACGAGAGAGTATGGAGTTACATGGAGGTAAAAGATGAGGCCAGGGATTCACATATTTAAACCACAACAAACCAAGGCACCGAGTGGGATCCAAAGGGGCCAAGTCCGAGCACAGTCTAATACAACGACGATGGCGTGCTAGGTTTAGTGGGGGAGAATGTCATGCCCCATGAGATCAAGCTTGAAACATGTCCTCTAGTGTATGCAACAGAGGTTCTAAAGGGCATGTTGTGCATGACCAATCCACCAAATTTGGCCCAAAACAGGGAAAGTTCTAAGTGGCCTGAGCCCGATAACATTGATCGTGCAAATATGGGAAATGATACCTTGGCAGTTTGTGTCCACATTGGCCTTGAGAAAAAGGTAGGAAATATCATATCAAGGAGGATTATGTGGGAATCTTTCCATATCGATGAAGATATTAAATTCAAGGAAAGAAGGGGACTAATTGATTTGATTTGATTGTAATTTGATAAGCTTTCCTTATATATGGAGTTTGTAATTAATAGGACTCATCTTAGTCATTAATCTAGTTTAATCTTAGCCATAAATTGTAAGGGGATTCAACTATAAATAAAGGCCTCCCTACCTCATTTGTACTCACTTAACTTTTCAGTAATCAAGAGCATTCACCCAAATCTCTTTCTTCTTGTTCTTTAATAGCTTTCTCTTCTCTCTAGTGTTTTTACTTCCGTATTCTAGTAAGTGTTCTTACTTAGTGTTTTCAGGCTTACTTAGATGCATAATTGAGTAAATAGCCTCAAGAGGTGTCTAAGACCGCACGTTTTGGAGTTAGGATCTCCAAAGGCGTGAAAATATGATCAAAATAACATTGTAGGTTTTGATAAACCCAACTACATATAAGAAAATATCTTTTTTTTATATATTTTAATTTGGGATGAATACTCGATCGAATCTAGTTAAAATATTTTGAGTTTGTAACACCCTATACCAGGTCCAAGTGTCCAAGCTGGATACCTGAGCATACATTAGGTTTCAATCGTGTTGGACGGATCAACATCCACATTACACACATTTCGTGGAAGCAAACAAATTAAAATCTCTTATTATTCTTCACTCTCAATGTTCAATGTAACTAACATGCAATTGAATCTCAATTAAACATGCAAACATTACATTTAAACATTTAGGGGTATTTTGGTCATGTCATATCATATAATAAATCAACAACTCAAATCACCTAATTAAGGTTACCACATGTTAAACATTTTCATAAGGAAGTAGCACGCAAAATTTCATACCAACCGAACATCAGACAATCACTCAATCGATCATACAAGATTAGGGACTGAACATAATCATTTAGGGGTCAAATTAGAATTTAAGAGCACTTCAGACCTTTAACGAATGCAATTTTACTTTTTTTCGATCGAGCAAAACTACTAAGGGATCAATCCTTTCTTAAAAAGGATAGATTCTTTGCAAAACATAAACTTTGGGATTGATCCTTTATCTTAAGACATCGATCATTTTTCTAAAAAACTTTAGATTTATCAAGAACATGCATATTTAGTCAACTAATCACCCACATAAAAGTAATCATGGATTAGGAATATGCTTGGACACTATTCAACCACTTAATACATGTCAAAACAAAACTATAACATGCTTTATAACACAAGTCAACACATTAATCAAGGATTTGACACCAAAAGCCAACAATTTCATAAAAATTCATTTCAAGCACAACTCACCTAGTCATTTTTGGTATTTAAGGTCGTTTCATGCAACCTAAGAATCTAACATGTTTAGTTTACCATGTTACGCTTGCCTACGCACTCCAAACACTTATTTAAGGCCTAAATCAACATTTGAGTACTCACATTCTTTAGTTAAACAAGTTCTTGCATAATATTCTCAAATCAACACATTATACCATCATCAATCTTCAAGTATAAAACAAGTTTTACAAGTCTAGTCCATACATCAAAAGTAATCAATACCACATATATTTATAAGTCGCAAACGTAACCCATATTGCCACAATTAGCTTTCTGAAAAACACATACACTTCATTGAGCCATTGCCTTGCTTGATCACTCTCGATGCCATGTCTCTCGCCTCCACTCGATTCCATTACTTTAAAAAGTTTTAACAACGAGTGTGAGCTAATAAAGCCCAATGAGTGACAATCATTCAAAGACAATGCACATAGTCAAGATGAAGCATGGCCCTATATGATCATGTTTAATATGCCCTTACCTCGTCGTACAAGTAACATCATGACATGCTTAAATGATCAATTACATATTCTAAATGCACATAAGTTCCAGAATTTACCAATGTTACATAATTGCTTAAGTCATGGCATTCACAAGCACTCATGTACAATTACCTTCCTTAGAAAGGAACACACACAAAATACACATACTTTCATTTGAAGATTATTGGCCTTTGTTTGAAACACAACTCACTCATTGGATAAACAAACTCTATACAACTCCCATTTTGTTTACGGACTCACATAGGTCCAAAACCATGAATTATAGAGAAAAGCTATACGCCCAACCAAACCCCGTATCTTCTTGAAGAAAAGCTCTACATATTGACCAAACCCCGTATAATCTCGAATGACACACACTTATACAAAACACATAGACTACCCTTTTCTATGCATGCCTTTTATATCCAAAGGTCATATTATGAACAATAGTCAGTTAATTCAAGTTTACCAAGAGTGGTTGTCAATGATGCATAGTTTTCACATATTGATTCAATTACATTTTGAAACACACTTACGGATAGTTGTCATGATCACCCACATATATGGACAGTGAGAAAGTTCAGTTCGTCCAATCACATATTCACATTATACACTTTCACTTTAAATACACATCGAAATTGGTGATCATGATCAACTAACATATTCAGAATATATATAGATTTTTGAAAATCGCTTTCCAAACCCAATGCATCATTTGCAACACAACACATTCACATTTCCCCAATTCTGATATATGAGACATCGTACATAATTCGATATAACTCCTATTTCATATTCATGTTTTCAATATACGTGTCATCACATACAAATCAACATAATTCAAATCATCATCAACATCATTATCAAAAACACATAAACATGTAAAAATTAATCAAATGCATCAACTAAACAAACCTCAACCTTGAATCATATCCATTTCTAAGAATGAGAGTCACTCACCTTGCTGTCTGAAAATTGAAAACGCTCCCAAACGCTCTCCAAACACCAAGCACAAAATCTTCCAAAAAAATAACACAATAAGGACCTTGAAAAAAAATAACACATTACAATCTATTCTAAAATATAGCAGAATTCTCTAATTCTAAAATAGAGCAAAAAGGTCGAAGTTACCGAAAATCATACCGAAACAACTCTCCAACACCTCCGATCTTATTTGAATCACTTATCCTTTACAAGAGCTGACAATAAACAACTAAAATTATCATCTAATCCAATTAAAATCGCACAAATCAACCTTCACAAACCTAAATTCTCGGATTCCCAAAAATACCGAAAATGGACTTTGTTTTCAAGAAATCGATATCCAAATCATTTGCAATCGAAAAAATGATTTAATATGATTATAATCACTCCAAAAAAACTCAATTTCATTAAAAAAAACCCTTAAAATCAACTCAAGAAATCAACACTTTAATTAACTCCGAAAATCAATTAAATCTTTGAAATCTTTTCAATTAAATCAATAATTCCACAAAATCATTAACAAAAAATCACTTGCCCTCGAAGCATGAAAGAAAACCAAGGAGAAGATTCGTACCTTGCTGAAAATGGATTGAAATTGAGATCATCAATGGAACTCCATTATGATTAAGCTTTAAAAACAAGAAGATAAGAGAATAGAAACTTGATAATTAAAATCAAGATTGAGATGAGTGAATTTAAAAATCAAGAAGAGAAAATAAAAGGAATTGATCATCTAGGTTGAGAGAAAATGGAGGAAGTTAAGAGAAATTATCAAATTGTGAAAATGAGAGAAAATGAAGAACACGGGAATGAAAACAAGTAATTAAGAAAATGTATTTTGGATTAAAATGAATTTAGATGAAGTTGTGGTCAAAAGGAGAAGTTAAAATACTTTAAGTTTAGGAGGGAAAAACTCTAAACATAAGCCTTGGTAAAATTACTTCATAGACTTTGGACATTGTGATGATTTTTATTTTTTTTAAAAGAAGGTATTTCAGGGATAAAATAGTGATGACAGTAAGAGTGTATATTTTCGGATATAAGATATTATCTTATCCAAAATATCATATATCCAAAAATTCAGATCACTAAAATTACGATCTGAAAATTCGATATATGAATTTTTAGATATTCGAGTTTTCAAATCATATATAATATATCCAAATTCACATAAAACTTGAATTGACAAAAAAATCATATTTCAAATTTATATTTTGTGGCTTTATCTAATATATTTATACCTATAATATATTCTATATAAATACTTAATTAGTCGGACACAATAAACAATTAAAAATCTTAATTTTTTTGGGGATAGAAGATCAGTGGCTAAGTGGGTACTCACATATTGACCTAGAGGTTATCTAAACTCTAAAGTCGAATTTTTGAATAATCTAAAATTACAATTTACTCAATCCATGTCCAATTTGATTATTATATTTTTTTCTCGGATATTTGATCTAAATTATTCGAAAATCAAAAAACGAATTAGATGACTAAATTTTCGAATCGAATCAATCAAATTGAATTTTTTACACACCCCTAGATGAGATTATAAAGGAGTCGGTGTAAAAAAGAATTTGCAAAAAAATGTGTAAAAATCAAATTGAGTAAATACAAAATTGATTGATTAAGTTACAAAAAGAATAAATTTGTTGCTAAAAATGAGAATTTAAGTTACATAGATATTTTGTAATTGTAGAGTAATATTTGATTCAAATTTGGTCAAAATATATTTAAAATAAAAGAGGAATTAAAAATGAGTATTCAGTCGAGTCAGATTCAATCGTGTTAAAAACTTGAAAATAGTCCAGTTCACTTGCCATACTCTACAATTTAAATTTTATTTAAATATTTTTTG